TAGGGGTCTCTGGGATGCGCTTGTTTTCTGGTCCAGCTTTTCAAGAACCCCCGATAAACCTTAAAGTTTTCTGCTTCAATAGGGGGATGGGACTAAAGGATCTTGGAGATCCCATCTAATTCTGATATTCTGTTTTTGTGTGTGTGACATGCTTCAGTGATTTTCATTTGCATTTCAGACTGGATATATTCTTAATAATGCATTTGAGGGCATTCTAGTCGAAGGAACAATCCTATGAAGTTTTGTTTAACATCAGACAAAGACATCAGGTGTCTTTGGGACTCCTTGCTACTGCAAAAGTAGTAATTAGTTGCTGCTTAATGTGTGTGCTCAATTTGTTATCCTTTTCCTTGGAGCCAAGGAGGAGAAGGGAAATCTTTATGGAGAACCAATTTGGTTTTGTGGTTGCAGCCACAGGCTACAAGGCTGCAAAACTGTGAGTTCAAATCCTGCTTTGGCCATGAGAATCAGATGAGTGATTTTGGGCTGGTCATTTTTTCTCCTCAGCCCTAGGAGAGAGGCTTTGGTAAGCCACTTCTGTAAGCGTTATGGCAATTTTCCTCCTGTTTTATGCTTTTATGCTCCTGTTTTATGCTAGGGCTGTTTTAGTTCTCTAAAAGCAAGGATTTTGTATAAACTATTTTTACTCTGCCAGGTTTGGGGGAGGCAATTGTTTGTCTTCTCAACTGTCCTGTTGCTTCTTTGATGTGCTCCCACAAAAGACTTGGAAGTATCTCCCTATGAAAGGTTATTTGACCTACCTTTCACAGATGGAACTGGAGTGTGAGAAAAGGAAAATTGGGTTGTGATTTTTGCCGAACTTATATAGGCCTCAAAATGATACTAGGCCTCAAATAAATTACTATATATCAGAGTGCCAGCTAGAATGATTTCCTAAGAATAACGTGGTATTTGTAATCTGCTGTGCTAGAGCAAATTTATAACATGTATTTGCAAAGTAGATAGTTTCAGAAGCTACTTTGGACTAGGAACATTAAAACTGTTGGGAAATAAGAAACTGAAAGTAGCAGATGTCAGGAGATTTCACATGTACACGCAAGAATGTGCTAACTGACAGTCAGTATGGGAGTACAAGGAAGTAACTTCAATAAAACTCCATTTACTGAGGGACTGTCAGAATAAGGGTATAAAACAATGATGGGTTGCTACCGGTTCACCCCGGATCCGGTGAACCAGTAATGGCAGGAGCGGGAGGCTCCGCCCACCTGCCTGGAAGCTTCTGCACATGTGCAGAAGCTTCTGTGCATGTGAAGCATTGCGCACACTCGCAAGTTCGTGTGCGTGTGCAAGTTCGCGTACAGCCATGAGTGAACCGGTAGCAACAGGATTTGCAACCCATTACTGGTATAAAAGAAGATGGGTCTCAGATCAGGGCCACTGACCATAGCTATTCCTTGCTGGACATAGCTATCGTCTCTGGACCTCACTGCAATGGATTATTTAAGTAATGTTAGGATGGCTGTTCATGTTCCAAATTGCTCATGAAATAAACTTCTGAATCTTAAAGAAAGAATTGTTTATTGTATTGCTGTCTCCTGCTTCTTTTATTGGAATATTTTTACGACAGGAGAAATACCCCACTTTGAGATCAAATATGTCTTTCTTAAGAATTATACACAGGGGCTGTCCTCTTCTTTGTCTCTTCCCATAAACCAAGGACTTCTTGCTCAGCGGCCACTATTAGAGTTTGCAGTCCACAGCATCCAGCCTAGAGAATGGGTCTTGATCAAATCCTGGAGTACAACCTGGGTGGGAAGATCCTTTCCAAGTGTTGCTGACCACTGAAGCAGCTGAAAGGACTGCCGAAAAAAATTGGACGAGGGAGGGAGCTGCGCTCAGGGCTAGAGAATAAAATGTTGCTGGAATCTATTATTCGATGTGCTTGCTTGTTGTGTCATCCCTCTTGCAAGAACATATTTGAAAATAAACTGTTTGCTGCTTCACTTTATGACTCTGTCAAATCTCTGAGTAGTGAGTGCGTTTCTCACAAGGTGATGTACATCGTCTCCTATTTTCCCCACAACAATTCTGCGAGGTGAGTTGGACTGAAAGAAAGTAACTGGCCCAAAGTCACCCAGCCAGTTTTCCTGCCTAAAATGGGGCTTTAATTCACGGTGCCTTGGTTTCTATGCCAGAACCTTAATCACTATAGCAAACTGGCTTTCTACATTGAAAACCATATAAAAGAAATTAAATAATACACTAAGTGTAAATAGCTTTGTGCTGCATGAGCTAAAATTCAGGTCACACACACACTTTAAAATGTACAGTATGTTGTGATAACTGGAGTTAATTTTGCAAAAAAGGGAGAATTATAAGGAATTCCTATATATGTGTTTCTCCATTAAAACATATGATCTGGTTAAGCCTCCTTTTGTAAAATCAAATTTAGCTTAATATATAATTTGAGCTTAATTTGATTGGCCTTAGTGAGACAGCCCATTTTAACCTATTTATGTTTTTATTCATGTATTCATGTATTGATAAATCATGTTTAATCATGTATTACTTATTATTTGTTACATAACTGTGGCCATGTTATTTTGTATCTATTCCACTGGTTAATGCCTGCTTGCGAAGGTGATAAATTACACCTTAGCACCAAGTTACTTAGGAATGTTTCTTACCTTCAACCTTTAGTTGACCTATAGTATGTTACTATGATTGCTGAGAATGTATGTATGAAGTTGGTTTTCATGATTGATTTATAACTACAATATGTACACTGTTCAAAATTTCATAAAAATGGTTCATTCCACTAAAGAATGAATGAAGAGAGTTGTGCTCACTTTGAAACTTCCTTTTATTTTCAAATAAAAATCTTAATCCTTTCCACCTATGTGGTGTGATTTATTTGGGCTTTGAGGAGCACATGGCATAGATTTTGTAACTTGCTAACTAACACAGATACTTTGTCTTTTAATTTGATGTATTTTCTCTCTTTTAAAATGATGTTCAGGTTTATTACCCTTTAACTGATAAACAAGCTGGAGACTAGCTCCAGATAGGAAAAAGGTTGTTAGTACAAATTGGGGTCTGGCTTAACTCTTTTGTGAACTCCAACCAACCTTTTTCTTTACAATTTAAGCCCCTTCTGACCTCAGACTTTTAATGAACATGTGTGATATTATGGGATGCAAACAGGTAACATGTTTGACTAACATGTAACTGATTTTCTATGCAAAGGGGAGATTACTTTTATCCTGCCCAATCAATTTTCCTCTTGCGTTTTCTTTGTTGTGTTAACTATAAAAAGGAGTGAAACATGGGACTTGAATTACTCTACCTCCTTTTTCATAGAGAGATCCCACTTTATCAGGGTACCTTAACAAACTGCTTTTAAATGATCTTCCGATCATTTGGGAAGGTAAAGTGAGGCAGAACCTAGGGCCAGATTTGGCTATCAGCCTGGGAACAGGGTGAACAACCTGAGCCTTCTGGATAACAGCCTCAATAAAGAGACAGACAAACTGGAATAAGTCAGGAGTTCTTGTGTAAGACTTTGCTGTGAACATATACGCTGAGTGTTTTTAGCATCATAGTCTTGTATGGGGATTATGAGGTCATCTTAAAGCTATTGACCCCAATTACTGCAACGGGCACTCTTTAGGGGAAAGATGGTCCTCCCACACAATCTGAAAGAAGGAAAAAAAATGTTGGTGTTGCTATTGCTGCTGCTTCCCCATATCTATTCTGTGTAGAGTGTAACTGAATAGAGCAGAGTATCTCAACCGTAGCAACTTGTAGGATGTGTAAAGTCAACTCCCAGAACTGAAGTACTCCCATACTGGCTGGGGAATTCTGGGAGTTGCAGTCCACAAATCTTAAACTTGGTGAGATTGAAAAATGCTGGAATAGTCTGATTTCTTTCATATTTGTAATTTGTTTTTCTTGGCTGATGCTTGCATCTGTAATTTAGAAAAGGAAAAATGAGCAAATGAATCAGTCTCAGAGATTGTGATGCCAGTGTTGTAAAAGATGTTATTTTCGATTCTCTATCTCTCTGGAAGAATCGCTGTATTTCATTTTCTTTGTTCCTACAGGCATTTTTAATGGACAGCAATAAGGAAAAGGCTGTTTCTCCTTTATTTTCCTTCATAAAGAAAAATAGTATAGATAATATTTCCCTGGAACATTTTATTCTATGTTAAGTTGCTTTGAGATAATGTGAATAAAGTAGGAATCATCCAGGGTCAGTTACATGAACACTAAAGGACCCTCTTTATTCACATTATTATAAGGGAGAAATGTGCTTGTTTGGAGATTAGATTAAAAATCAGCTAAATCCCATTATTGGTAATATATCTGATGAGGCCTAGCTGTCACAGAAGGACAGCTATATGGAAAACATCACTGTCAAAGACAAGGACATGTATGTTATAAAGAGTTACTTATTACCTAAGGACAGCAATAAATCTCCCGTATTAGTAATTACAGAACTAAGGAAGGTTGTCTAGCTAAAGATAATCTTATAAACTAGACAATAATGGTTTAGTAATTAGGAAGTGTCAATTATCATATAACAAGTGTATGTTAACCATATATGGAAAAATGCATGTGCTCACCAAACCCTTTGTCTTGGAAACATATATAAGCAGTTTTATCAGAGCTTTCCGGGGTTCAGAATTTCAGGTACAAATCTGGCTCTGAACCTGCGCAATAAACTGTATCTGGCTGACCCAGGAATGTTTTTCAGTCTTTCATTCCATAAGAGAGACATTAAAAGGGTATTCAAACAAACCTCTCTACCTTTGAGTGGAACAACAAAGGAAAAATATGGACTATAAGAAATTACAAGAGGGTCTTGGAAAAGGGGTGTTGTTGGGCTATTAGTCTCTTGCATTTAACATTAAAAATATTTACCAGTTTAACCTATTTCCACCAAAGACACAGTATTTTGGGACCAACTTTAGCCAAACATCCAACAAAGTAATTATTAGTGGTGGTAGAATTATTTATAGGATTAAAAATACCCCCACCTTGTTTTTGGTAACATGTTTTGGGCCTAGATGCCAAATCCATCAAAATGGCTCTCAAGTGTTCCTCAGGAGAGATGTCCTGTACTTGGAAACGTTCCACTGGAGCCACGACTTTAGAGAGGTAGAAGAGAGGAACTTGTAAGTAATAAACAAGGTACAAGAGAGATGGTTTTGTCAAGGTAACATTAACAATGATTTATTTTGATTGCCTCTCACAACTAGATGTGAAATCATACAGTGGTTTGGGAGTTGAGCAATGCTATGCCATTTGTTTTCATCTTATCTTGTTCACTAGAATCTCCATCAAGTAACATCATCAAAGGTAGGCTGGTCAATTTATGATTTATTTTCCTTCCATTTTTCAGCCAGGACTGTAGTCATAAAAGAATATTTTTCCTGAATGCTTCGAAAGTTATGGGAGATTTTTTTTGAAGGACTTTTTGCAGTACATATCTGCTAGGTTCTATAGAGATACCGTGTTTTCCTGAAAATAAGACCGGGTCTTATATTAATTTTTGTTCCAAAGGACACATTACAGCTTACTTTCCAGTTAGGTCTTATTTTTGAGGAAATACGGTTCTAAATGCATCTGTCTGGCTGACGATCTTAACTAAAGCTTATTATATTATGAGCATTCTGAAAAATCATGCTAGGGCTTATTTTCCAAATGGGTCTTATTTTGGGGGAATCATAGTAGTAGGTTCTGGAAGGACACAGCAAATGGCAGCATCTAGTTGAAAAAACCAAGTACAGGTAGACCTCAATTTATGACCACAACTGAGCTCAAAATTTCTGTTGCTAAGGAAAATATTTGCTAAATGAAATTTGCCCCAGTTTACGACCTTTCTTGCCACAGTTGTTAAGTGAATCACTGCAGATGTTAAGTTAGCAACATGGTAGTTAAGTGAATCTGGTTTCCCTATTGACTTTGCTTGTAAAAAGGTTGCAAAAGGTAATCGCATGACCCTTGGACACTGCAACCATCATACATAAGAGTCCTTTGCCAAGTGTCCGAATCTTAATCACATGACCATGGGGATGCTGGAATGGTTGTAAGTTTGAAAAACAGTCATAAGTCACTTTTTAAAGTGCTGCTGTAACTTTGAATGATTACTAAATGAACTGTTGTAAATCAAGGATTATCTGAACAGTCAGACAAGATAGGAAATCTACAGCTGTTTTTGTTTTTTAAAGGCAATGGCAAACTGCTTGCATAAAACCAAAACACCAACATGGATGTTTGCATTTAGACCCCAAGAGTCAAGTCTGACTCACCAGCTCATAAAGGTGATGCTTGTGGAATTTTCTGGAGTACAATCCCAGCCATAAAATTATATATTGGGTTATAGTTTGTTTAAGATTTATAAACTGCCTCATATTCTTAGAAGTATACAAAATCAAACACAGTACAAAACATAATATAATAATAAATCTGTAATCAACAGTCAAGGAGCGGGAACTTCCTTTCAAATGTGGAAATTATAAAAAGGTTGAGTGACACCACTGTGGTTGGTTGAAATGTGTCAAGATTCTCCAATTAAGGAACTATGCCAATATGAGTTTTCAGCTTTTACTTATACTAATTAGTTAACATCTATCTTTGTTCTAAACTAATTATTCTTGAGCTCCACATCCAGTATTCTCTGAAACTATGCTTTGATCTGGAAATCTACGGCAAGATTTTTCTTTAAAGCAAGCACCTACAACTATATTTAATCTTGTTCTTCGTGATCTCCACTTAGAAGATATTTAGACAATTTTTAACCTGGGTTCTTTGAGACTGTTGAAAAACAGACAAGTTGATATTATTCAGTTTCATATCCGATACAGTAGTTTAGACTGTAGTTCTATCACAAAGTGAATTCCATTGAATTCCAAGATGGAGTAGGGCAGCTTTGTATCATAAAATGGCTCCTCTTCAGCATTCCCACGCAACAGTTTAAAGTTGTACAGGAGGGTGGCTTAAGTACTACAAAGTTCTCTTTTGTGAAAATGTTATTTGTTATGCTTTGCGGAACAAGGAGAGAAAACAGACTTCAGCCCTGTCTTTTATTTATGTTCTGTAACTAAACCATTTTTTTTATTTAAAAAAAAAACTGGTTCTGTTGAAACGAGAAATCTGTTTTATATTTTGACTGTCTATGTATCACTACAGATATTTCTGTAGACAGCAGTTCATTTTCTGATTGGCCTGGCAGTCGCTTTATGAAAATGTTTCTGGTATTTTATCTAAGTGATTAATGCACTCCAGGTCAAAAAGGATGAGGAATCCCAATTTTGTTGATATTAAATAAATTGGTCTGGTAAAAATCTAACCCATCCTAAACAATCTGCAATCAATGCTTGGTATCAACACTTGCTCCCTTTAAGAATTTTTCATTTTGCACTAAATGAGTACTATCTACGTTTTCAAAACAATAGTCTTTTTTTCTATGAAAAGCAACAGCAAAAGAGAAAAAAAAGCAGGAGCATTCCAACATTGCCAAAATGCTAGATAAGGAGAGGGTTGAGCAAGGAAACTTGAATGTTGAGAGAGGATGAAAAGGGGGGAAATGGGGATGAGAGAAGCAATAAAAAGCAATTTAGCCTAAGCAACATTTTTTTCCTGTTTTTATCTTTTCTATTCTCATAGTTTTACAAATTAGCAAGGGTCAAGACTTGAAAACCAATTAGAAATAAGATAGGATTATAATCTTGGACATAATAAAACATAGGACACTGACATTTTAAACTAAGTTTAAATCATGGCTACAGGTTGGGAATAATTGGAAAAAAAAATATAGGAAGATTTTGTTTGGGAGTCAGTAATTTCTGACGGTAAATCCATGGCTTCATTGAATATTTACACTAATGTTTAAAGACTGATTATATTTTCACCTTCTTTGAACTAGCAAAGCTGATTATAGGTATAGAACAGCCAAAGCCCTCCAAATATCAGTTCAAGAAAAAGATATTTCTTTTAGAGCTAATAATTTAGGTTCTGCCTTGTGTGTGCAGTACTTTCCTAAGCTTCTGTAAATGTGCATTTTTAATCATGATTCACCGGGAAAGAAAGGCCTTATTCTTATCAAAACGTTCCCACAGAATGCATTTTGAGAAAAAGGCTAACACTAATTTCTGTATAAAAATATATCCATCATATTCTATCTGTACAGCTGTTTATGTATGCAAAAGATTTATTTTTTTCTATATTTCTCTTTTGCTTTGCCCATATGTTATATACACGAACATATATAAAGGAAATTTAAAAGATAGTGGCTAAAGTATTATGAGCACTGGTCACATTACATGAGACGTCATAAACCATTTTTACAAATTTTGAAACAATGTTGGGGCAGAAGATCTTATCTGTCATTTTTCCTATGGTTGACAGCCTTCAGTATCCAGAGAGTATTTTTTACCTCTGAACTGGGGTGGGGGGGGGAATCTGTCTTAATGTTTGCTATTTAATCCAGGCAAAACACATAACTTTGGCTCAATATGAGCTAGAAAGCCTACAATTTACTTAGTTCATAATGAGAGAAGAAGGGCCAGGGAAGCTTATTTCACTGAGATGCTTTTATATCACTATCTAACTCAGTGTTTCTCAACCCTGACAACTTTAAGCTATGTGGACTTCAACTCCTAGAATTCCACCACATACCTTAAAGTTGGGAAGGTTGAGAAACACTGATCTAACCCTTCACCAGAGAGAAATATGAACCATTATATCTTTTGTTTAGTAGAAATTTAAATAAGCAGAACACCCTTTCTATTAAACCCTCCATCTGCTTAGTCAAAAATGAGCTTTGGGAAAGTAGTTTGAAGATGGCTTATCTCTAAAGAGGTGAGCATATGTCCAAATTAAAGATGGCATGTAGAGCAACTTGGAGAGGATTCCCCTTCTACCTAAGCTAATCATTTTGCACTACGTGCGCCCAAGGAAAAAATGTTTACCTGGGATGGCTACGGTTAACCTTTTTTCCTTGCTGAGACGGTGCCCATGGAAGGATTCATTCATGGAAATGGGGCCCCTCAGAAGAAATGACTCTGTGGAGGTGTGATCTGGGGGGGTTCTTAATAAAGGCAGTAGATAGGTCCCTGAAGTCCTGGAATGGCTCTGATCACAAGGGGAAGGTGAGAATTGTCTTGCAGGAGATCCAAGAAAAAAATACATACGGAAACAAAAGAGTTTTTACTTTAATTACTGAGCAATGGCCCCTTTGGAATTAAATATCATACATTACCCACCCTCCTGAGAAATCACCCAAAATATTGCTAACATCTTCTACAATTGCTGTCACCCCCGTAATAGTGTGCTACCACCCCATAGGTGGGGGGGGGGGGGGTTTGTATATTCTGAGGAAAAATAATAGGTAAAGGGTTCAACTTGAGTGATCAATCAAGCCAAGTCAATATTGTGATGTCTCGGCATGCATTCAATACCATCTATTCTTGCTGCCACTCGTCACATCAGGGACAGCATCTGCCCCTCCATCACTAGAGATGGTTTGTGAATGTTGCCAGGAATCAACATAATTCCATAGCAACATAAATTTACTACAAATCAACATCATAAATATATTTTCGTGTATGGCTTGGTGGGTCACCGGCTGTTCTTTGCTTAGAATGTAGACTTTACACATATTTACATAGTTGTAGTTAACAGTTACACCGAACAGAACTAAACCTATAGGAATACACACTTGAAGTGGTTCTTGGAAATGGTTCCTTATAGTGGTGCGGCCTTTAGCAGGGTAGACATATATGGGTTTGTCTTGGAGGTTTGTTCGTTCTTTATGCTTTTTTGACACATGGGAATGAAAACACCTCTACCCACTGAGGAAATATATTAGCACCAAAGTTTATTAGAATGTTCCCTTTTTGGTGGATGTGCTTTTTTTCAACACAGGCTCAGCCCTGCACCTGAGGTAGTCAGTTCTATCCAAACAGAGGCATTCAAGACATACAGAATATGCTGAAAATGCTAAGAAGGCATGAACCACGACCGTATCAAAAGGGACAAGAAAATACCATGGCAGATGGAATTAACAGCCCACGTTTACAGTTTGAAAAGCCATTCCTTCTCTCCTCCCCATCCCCAACCTCTTCTCATAAAATATATAATGTATTTGCAATTCAGTGGATGACCTTAAGTCAAGTCAGGCCATTGCACTGTACTATAAATAGGACTGCATGCATACCTTTTCCTCTGGGTGCCACTGCTGACCAGTATGTTTGGTGGTTGTGGGCCCTGACTATGCAGGAGGAAAGTGTCTATGGTTGACACGGTGGCTGATGCCTCCTCACTTACTTTAGGGCTGCCGATCTTGGTTTTTCCAAATTTGCCTTTGCTCCGCCGGGACTGCTCGTGATCAAACTCTAAGTCTTCCAAGCGTTGAGTCAGGGCGAGTTTTTGCTGGATAGCCATCCGCAGCAAAGAATCTAAGGTCTTTTTCTCATCTTCTGCAGCTGCCAATTGCCTCTGCATCTCATCCAACTGGGTGACATACTCATCACATCTGGAGGGAAAGAAGGAAAGAGGAACAGATCAAGCTGTCTACGCAACTGTCCTGGCCAGCCTTGGGTTGTTGTTTTTTTCTTTTGCAAACATGAACCATGTGGACATCAGCACCAACCCTTTCTAAGTGGGGAGAGGGGTCTTCAAAAGTAGTTCCTCTGGGTTTCAGCAGCATCAACATTCCTTTGAGGCACTTCAGATTCAAGATAAAAAGGAGCTTCCTAGTGGCGAAAGTTGCAAACCTGCCATTTGTCAGCAACTCTTTAAAGCAGCTGGACCAGGGGTGGATTGCCCCCGGTTCGGACCGGTTCGCAAGAACCGGTAGTAAAATCGGCGAGAGGCTCTGCCCACTGACCCGGACGTCATCAAAGTTGATCTGTGCATGCACAGAAGCTTCTGTGCATGCACAGAAGAGCGTGCATGCACACGAGCGAAGCAAAGGCGCGGGCACGATGCAAACTGGTAGTAAAGGTAAGTAGAACCCACCCCTGAACTGGACATTTCTTTAAGAGTGCTTTACACCTCCACACATTCTAGAGCAGCTTTTGTTCTTTCTGGCACAGCTTCTGCCTAATCTCTACCTAGGAGATAATCTATCTAGTCTTCTTTCAAAGCAACTGAACTAACAATAACTTGGGGACACAGATCCATAACAGTAAGAGCTGCCTAAGGCAGAGCACACCGGGAGACCCACTGTAATAAAATATAGTCCTTGATTACCAATTGTGTCCTTTAAGAACTGTTTGAAATTATGACAGTGTGTAAAAAAAAAAAAAAAAGTCAATCCTGAAGCGGGCCTGATTGAAGCCATTTTGACTGCTTCAGTGTTGCCACATTGGAGCTGAGGGATAGGGAGGGAGGATTTGAGATAGATGGGATTTTGTAGCCAAAACAAAATACTTTCTCTTGGGAACCAAGGACATTCTCACACCTGGTCGGAGGAAGGCAGAGATATGTTATCCAGTTATCAGACTGCACAGTGATTGCACCATGTGACTGATTGTTTTGAGAAAGTAGAAAATCTTTTACTTTTAATTAGGTGAAAACCGCAGGAGTTTTCAGAGTCGGCCTTCACCAGATATGTGCCAATATGATATTTCCAGTAAAAATATTCTTTGAGGAATTTAGTTGCCTGGGAGTCTTGCTTGTCATGGATTTATTACTTAGAACCCTAACAGAAAAGCTTTGCAACCTTGTATTTATGACTGTTGCAGCATCCCACAGCCACATGATTGCATTGGTGTGCTTTGCAACTGGCTTGCAGCAAGCAGTTAATAGATAAAGCAAAAGTAAAATCATTTTAAGTACTACTTAAGGACCATGATGATTTACTTCATGGTCAAAGGGGATGTGAGATCATAAATCTGTTGCTGTCACATGATCCTTCGCTTAGTGACTGTGGTGCTCAGACATGGAATTGCCGGTCCTAATTGCAGTCACTAAGTCAGGGCTATCTGTACTCTTAACATTTTGTCATGTTGCTACCAATATACTATATATTATATATTGTGACTAATAAGTGTTTTGCCCTCTCTTCTCCCTCTGCGTCATGTATTAATGTGAAAGTATTAATGTCAACTTGCAAAGCTTTCAAGTTGCCATGAGCAGGAGGGAGGGAGAACTGATAGAGCTGATTGATTTCCCTAACTGAAGTGCATTCCATACATTCTTCCTGACCGCAATCAGGAGGGTGTTGGATTTCATAGCCAGCCAAAGTGGTTAATTGGAGAATGTGATTTATGACATGGCCAGAGAGGAGGCGAGAGACAGGGTCATAGGGGAATGTAAATCTACGTGGGATTAGTTCTAACTGCATCCGAATATTGCCGAAATGGTGCTCCTAATAAATGACACTATTTCTTTTGAAGTTCGGCTCATGGCTCATGAATTAATTAGGGCATCTTTCGGAAAATTCACAATTAACATTTATGAATATGGAATGTGCAAGACCATCTCAAAGCAGGCCATAAAGGCCAAAGAATTGTTCTATATTAGACATTAGCTTCTGCAACAGGTCAGAAACTACCAGAATGGACAAGACACATCAAGAGGTGCTTCTTAAAACAAGACACTGGTGTGCAAAATATTTAAAAAGAACTATTCTGAAATGCAATTGTGAAATGAAGCCTAGAGATATTTTGCACTATTTCTATTTATGGTATTTATTTATTTCTATTTCTATTTATTTATTTCTGTTATTCTGTTATTTAAAAGTATTCTCCATGTTTCCTTGTATTCATAGACCAGCTAGCTACTGAAAGCAATTTTCTTTTCTTGGTTTTTGCTGCTACTATAGTTCTTACTATGAAAGTGACTTCTGCTGCTACATTTACATAAGCTGTCTTCCGGATAGGAGGATGACTATTTTTAAAAAATTATATCTTAATGTCTGATGTAATGATTATTTACAAATTAAAGCAAAAATTATCCATGAAACCAAAACAGCATTTTTCCAGAGAGTCAAATATTGTGTTATTGTTTTAGTCACTGAGTGAAGCATCTGTAATTTTATTGAAAATAGAGCCTGTTTGCTTACAGAAATGTATATCGTGTACAAGCCAAGTTTTAGAAAATCACATTATGCTGCATTTAAGTGAAGTCTGACCCCATTATTTATCAAGGGTTCAAACTTAATTCTATAAATGTTTTGATGGATAATTTAAGCAAGAGGTTATAAAATAAAACTAATGAGAAATAAGAATGGTAGTTTTGTGCGCACAACATACAGAATCAACAGAATTGGAAAATAATACTAAATAGTATAAGTGAAGGCTTTCTTCTGAAAGCTTAATTTACATTTTTTATGACTTCCTTTCACTAAAAGCAAAGGGCAGCGGCTTCTTTTATAAACTGCCACATGGAGCTCATAAAGCTTGTTTAAAGTTAACAATGAACCAAGAAAAGAAATAACATTTTTTTAAAAAAATTACTTGTTTAATTTTATAAAGTATCAGGTTAAAAGTAGTTGACATTTTTGAGGATTTAAAAAAAATCATATGTTTCATCTTCGTTCTAAACTAAGAAATCCTAACATTTAAATATTGTGGAGGATATCTTTATTATTCTGTAGGCGCCTATCTGTGTGTTTACAGCTTCCCATATTCAAAGTGGGAGAGAGTCAGATCATTAGACTAACCATCAATTTAATTGGTATTTCAAGTTCTCACAGGCTAAGTATTCAGCATAACAAACTGTTCTTTCTCACAGGAATACTCAGATTCCTTTGTACCCTTATCTGTCTTCCTTATCAGGGCTAAAACAATTATTTGTCAATAGCCAAATGTGTAATATGCTCAATCTCTGCAACTCTTTGGTTGGTGTTGTTCTCTCTTGATAGCTGAAGAACAAAGACTCATTGTAACTTGCTAGTTTTAATAAAATAATTCTTGGATCATTTCCAATCGCTAGTGTATTCTTAAATGATTTTTTTTCTCCACCAATGCATTTTGAAGTCAATTTCTTATCAGCTTCATGAGTCCAGGTTATGCTCATTTTTAATCTTCTAAATAAATGTCTAATGAATATATTTTAACAATTCTATTATTCTTTAAAAAAAAAAAAAACAGAAGGGAAAGGAATCATGCCTACTGACGTTACTGTGACTTTCCCAAATTAATACTATGAACAGACCAGAATCTCGTGGACAAATTATTTAGGGATACGGATCTATAGAGTTAATATATAATTAGGAACCGATCGTTCTGGAGGAGTTTTCTGCAGATAAAGTTAAAATCAACCCTTGCCTGAAGCTCTGAAGAATATTTGCTAGTTGGCTGAGACAATGGTTTGAATACTGCTAGGAACATAAAATACCTCATAAACATGTCCCAGAAATTCTGCTCCCATGGAGTGGCATTGCATACACAGAGAGCTTGTAGGTCAGCACCCCCAATGCAATGCCTTTCCCCTCCATCTTGTTGACCAGGATTTTGATGAGGAAAGGTTGTATGTTTTAATTGGCTGAAATGGGAAGCATTTGTCCTGGGTATGGAGAGAAGACTGATAAGCAAAACCACAGGAATTCTTAGAAAAACATTCTTTAAATGCTGATTGCTAGGAGGAGAGTGTTTGGGCCTCTGGATACTTTGCTTACCTACTGCTGAGTAGACTTTTGTTAGTTCCTTTTTTAAAATTATTTTTTTGTTAGTTCCATGTGCCAAAGGCACACGGAACACTGTTACCTTCCGACCAAAGGAGGTCCCTATTTTTCTACTTGCATTTTTAAGGTGCTTTCCAACTGCTAGGTTGGCAGAAGCTGGGACAAGTAACGGGAGCTCACTCCGTTACGTGGCACTAGGGATTCAAAACGCTGAACTGCTAACCTTTCGATCGACAAGCTCAGCGTCTTAGCCACTGAGCCACCGCATCCCTTTCCTTTTTAAAAAAAAAATTATTTCCCATTTTTCTAATTTACATAACAATAAGCATTTTTAACAGTACTATGTCATGTGCCTCTTACAGTTATCTACATTTATTTCTATACATTTTTGTTTCTCTGTTCTAACCACTTATACCACTTATCCCTTTCCTTTTTATGGCACCCAGTAAAGAATAAAAGCTTGCCGTTGAAATCATTCTGGGTTCTTCCAATTATGAGAAGACCCATCTTTGTTCAAATCTGAATAAAAGTGTGACTCGGGGAGGCTTGGTCCTTGCCTCTTTGTCCGCGCTGAGCCAAACCTAAACTCCTGCTTTAACCAGCTAAACTCCTGCCTTAACAGTTGGTTTCTGTACCTCGTTGCAAACATGGCCCTCAAGGATGAGAAGGTTGCTGCATCTTCTTTCAAAGCTTTTAATTCGTTGCGCAGTTTAGTCATCGTTTCTGTTACCATGGCTTTCTCGTTCTCATATTTATTCTTCAGGTTCGCCAGGGCCACTTCTGCTGTCTGAAACAAAAACACAGGCATTAAAAACATATGCATTTATTTTCATCCGGTTGATACAAGTACAGGATTGCACTTAAAAGAAAACTTGGATTTTTTTTTCTTGGCTGGAAAGAAATGTAACCCTAATATAATTCATCATATAGTGCCTAAAAGGAAGCAAGAAGACTTCCTTAACTGAGCAATACAGAACAGTGTTTTTCAATCTTGACAACCTTAAGATGCATGGACTTGAACTCCCAGAATACCTCAGCATGCCGGCTGGGTAAGGAATTCTGGGAGTTGAAGGCCACACATCTTAAAGTTGCCAGGTTTGAAAAACACTGATTTAGAAGGAGACAAATGTTGAGAAAATCTCCTTCTTTTTTTTCTCCATTAAGAGATTAAAAGGTTGGGAGGGAGAATAAAGTTTAGAAATTTCAAATGGAAGGAACTTTTTAGTGACTTGTGATTACAGTAGAAGATTTTAGGAAAATATTTTATGTATTGGAATGGAGAATTTGAAGGACATATTAATGTGAATGATGTAGGAATAGTACAGGGTCAGCTATATGAACACTGAAGGGTCCTCTTTATTCACATTATTATAAGAAAGAAATGTGCTTGTTTAGAAACTACACTAGGTCAGCTAAATTCTATTCTTTGTAAATATATATCTTCTGAGGGGCCTAGCTGTCAAGGATGCAAGGACCATATGTAATATATATCTTCTGAGCAGCCTAGCTGTCAAGGATGCAAAGACATCCATCTGAAACTAGAAGTTAATTATTATCCAAAAATAGTCATGAATCTACGCATCAGCAAACACAGAATTGAGGAAGGTTGTTTAGCTAAGATAATCTTATGAATTAGAAAATAATGAAAGAATTTAGTAATTAGAAAATGTCAATTATCATGTAACAAATGTATGTTAACCATATATGGAAAACTGCTGTGCTCGCAAAATCCTTTGTCTTGGAGATGTATAAAAGCAGTTGTATCAGAGCTCTTCTTTGTTCAGAATTGCAGATACAAATCTGGTTCTGAAACTGCGCAATAAAACTGTCTCTGGCTGACCCAGGAATGTTGTTTGGTCCCATCATTCCATAACAATATACTACAGTTAAAAGGAAGATAATTTTAAGTTAGCCTTCTCTCCCATCACATCTGGAGGGCATCAGGCTGGGAAAGCTGTTTTATGGAAACCTCTATACTGTAAGAATTACACCAACATTCAATACATAATATGTGCTAATGTGTTGGATTGTGGTATGTATTTAGGCCTTCATAATTATGGGATTAGGACAATATTGAGTAATACAGGAAAAAGTAAGTTATATGCTTTCTGAAATGTTTTACCTATGATGTTAAGATAAAAAAATATTTTTAAAAATAGACAAATTTGTCATTGAAGAAAGAGAAAATTAAAACAATTAATCCTATGACAGAATAAACGTATGCAAAATATAGATCAGCCCAGAATTTAAGCTGATCAGCAACTAGCCATATATTTGGATAGAAGAAATAAATTGATACTCCTTTTCATTAAATCACGCTATTATAGATGATTCGACTTACAATAGTTCATTTTAGTGACCATCCAATCTTACAACAGCAATGAAAAAAGTGATTTATGACCGTTTTTCACACAGCTGTTGCAACATCCCCATAGTCACGTGATCAAAATTCAGATGCTTGGCAAATGATTCATATTTATGACCATTGCTGTGTTCTGACAAGCGAAGTCAATGGGGAAACCAGATTCACTTAACAATCGTGTTATTAACTTAACTGCAGTGATTCACTTAACAACTATGGCAGGAAAGGTTATAAAATGAGGTAAAACTTATTTAACTTAACAACAGAAATGTTGAGCTCAATTGTTGTAAGTCAAGGACTACCCACTCTGAGTAGAAATAGCACTACAAGATCGGGGTAAACCTTTCTGATCAGAATACAACTACGAGTATACTAAATATGTGAGCATTTGCTTATTATACAACACCAGGAGTTCTGAAGGTCAATCTGCATAATTAATCATATTAATTATAAATATATATATATATATGCTGTGTATAGCTTTAAACCAGATGAACTAAGCATAAAATAGATGAGAAATACTGATTAAAAATTAATATCAAAGCATTATTTTCTTATTTCTTTTGGCAAAAGCAATACCCAGTTTTCACTTCTACTGGCCACTAGGTAGCATAAGGTGACTCGTTTTGATTCTTAGATTTTACTTTCGAGTTGGCAGCTCTGTAAATTTTTCCAGTTAATCATAGAACTGTATATTTGGCTGCAACATTGGTTCTTTTTCACTAAGAGATGCTATCTTTTCAATTTTAACATCCATGCATTATTTTCATATTGGAAATTAATATAAGGTTCCTGAGAAATATCTCAACAAATATCCAGGACATATTTCAACGATCAAGAATCCATGACATGTTAAAAAAAATCAAATTGTGTCACAATATCTCAAAATATCTACAGTAGTGGCCAAAATTGTGGAAACCTTTCGGGAAAAGTGTATTTTCTAAAACTAGCTAATTACACCACTTTTTTTTTGGAGTAGTACCATAAAATTATATATCAACGGAAAGATAATTTAATCAAGAATGTAATGCAATAACTTTTGTGAAGGATTTGCTACTAGAAAAGCAGTTATAGTATAAAGAAGAAAAGTGAAACATGTAGAAAAAATGAGATATACAAAAATTATCACCATAGAAAAAACGGGATATACAAAAATTATCAAGTCACTTAATCAGTGGTGGGTTTTCAAAAAAAATTTCTACCGGTTCTGTGGGTGTGGCTTGGTGGGCGTGGCAGGGGAACGATACTGCAAAATCCCCATTTCCTCTTGATCAGCTGGGACTCAGGAGGCAGAGAATAGATGGAGGTGGGGTCAGTCAGAGATGGTATTTACTGGTTCTCCGAACTACTCAAAATTTCCGCTACTGGTTCTCCAGAACTAGTCAAAACCTGCTGAAACCCACCTCTGCACTTAATACTTAGTTGGATAATCTTTAGCATGAATTACGGCCTTACAATGTCTTCCCACGGAGTGAACCAAGTCTTTTAGTTCTGCAGCTGTTATAATGTGAAACCAGGATTGAATGATTGCTTCTATTAACTGGGTTTTATTGCTGGGTCACTTCTGACTAACAAGTTTCTTTAGTTGGCTCCATAGATTTTCAATTGGGTTAAGGTCTGGGCTATTCCCAGGCCATTCCAGCAGTGGAATCAGTGGTGGGTTCCTCCCGGTTCGTCCGAGCCGGTAGCGGTGACGATATGACATCACCGAACCGGTTCTCTTTGTTCGGGAGCTCGGCCCTCCCGCTCCCCCCATTATTCTTACCTTTTATTTGGCCCTGCCCCCAATTTTTCGCTGCCTCCTGAGTCCCAGCTGATCAGCTAGAAGGAAAAAAACTGTTTAAACTCTTGCCGTGGAGCTTCAAAGGGCCGCCTTACAGCTGATCAGTGTTAAAAGGCAGTGTGGTGGTAGACCAGTGCGCTCGAAAAACAAATGGGTAGACCGGTGCCTCCAAAAACAAATGGGTAGACTGGTGCCTCCAAAAACAAATGAGTAGACCGGTGCCTCCAAAAATAAATGAGTAGACCGGTGCCTCCAAAAATAAATGAGTAGACTGGAACGCTCCAAGAACAAATGGGTAGACCAGTACAGCTCTGTAAGCAGTTAAAAAGCCTGGTAGACCAGTACTTCTGCTAAATCCTAAAGAATTGTCACATGACCATCAAACCACGCCCATAAAATAAGCCACGCCCACAGAACCGGTAGTAAAAAAATTTAGAACCCACCCGAGTGGAATATGATTATCTTGAAACTCCCAAAAGAAGTGGTGTTATTAGCCATCAAAAATACACTTTTCCCAAAAGGTTTCCACAATTTTGGCCACTACTGTAAACTATAGAGTTCTAATGTCTGAAATGTAAGACCTTTTAAATATGAACAATCCCATAATCAGGAACTTCATGAAATAGTATTATAGGATGAAATATCATATTCATATGCCAGCCTTGTCAATCTCTCTATTCATGAAACTCACAGCCTCACCTGAAGCCGGATCGTACCAGATTGCAAGAAGAAATAATGAAAAGAGAAACTTCTTTTGGCCAATATTTAACAGCCAGATACTTTCAGCCAGGCTGAAACTGATAAAACCGTCTCTCACATAAAGAATAGCAAACAGGTAAAATCCCTTTAATGTACAGAGTTTTCATGGATACACAAATGTGGTGCCCCAAGTTTAGCTTATAGGTACACATAAAAGAGAAAAGATCTATATACACAGTGAAGTAAGATAAGGACCTTTTCCTCCACTGGAGTTGCAAGGCCACCAGAATAAAGATTTCAAATGACACATTCACATACCTCACAAAGGACCAATTTTCCTATAATATGACCCATCTCAACACCCCAAATTTGTAGCTACCTCAATTGTTGAATTCTATGCTCTCAAATAAACTACAGCTAGTCCTCAATTTACAACAGTTCATTTAGTGACCATTCAAAGTTACAAGGGCATTGAAAAAAAAAAGTGAATTATGACCATTTTTCACACTTCTGACCATTTCGGCATCCCCATGGTAACACCATGATCAAAATTCAGATGCTTGGCAACTGACTCATATTTATGACAGTTGCAGTGTCCCGGGGTCATGGGATCATCTTTTTGCAACTTTCTGACAAGCAAAGTCAATGGGGAAGCCAGATTCACTTAACAACCGTGTTATTAACTGAGCAACTGCAGTGATTCACTTAACTGTGACAAGAAAAGTTGTAAAATGAGGCAAGGTTCACTTAGTAAATGTTTTACTTGACAACAGAAATTGTGGACTCATTTGTGGTCGTATACCTGTACTTTCTTTTCAAGCAGCCTCATCCAGTGCATTTCAATCAATCAATCAATCAATCAATCAATCAATCAATCAATCAATCAGATTAGAGCTGAAAGGGACTTTCGAGGTCTTCTCGTCTAGCCTCCTGCTCAAGCAGGAGACCCTATACCATATTTCTTTCATGATCCAGCTTGAAACCGGACCAGAATTTTCTAACAGTATCAGAATAAGGGTACAAATTTAATCCAAGTTGATTTGAAAAGTAATTAGCAAAATGTACTTGTTTTTTGTCTTCTGGGATTTCATACAAACCTAAGAATATCCTGCTGTTTAATTTTACAAGAAGCTCAAAAGTAAACACAGCAATAACAGATGTAAAATCAATTGTAAAATTGCCCTTTAAGCAATTTTAAAACCCATAAATTATACACCTCATTAAAAAAAAGGAAATTACACTTTCCAAATTACCTGCTTGTTGGCTTTCAACACTGCCCTGAGGGTTGCTATCTGTTCCCGTTTCGTACTCAGCAGGGACTTTAATTTCATTATTTCTTCCATTAAAGCCTCCTTGTCCTTATCAATCAGAGGTGCCAGTTCACGGGCCGCTGCACGCTGTCGGGACAGCTGCAGTGACCGATCTACCGCTTTCTGCAAGTGCTTGATTTGGTCCCGTATTATGGCATTGAGGTTGTAAATATTCATGGGCTCTTTCCGAATGTCACTGGTATCAGAAACCGGGGAGGAAGGAGGGGCTGTAATGACAGGAGAAATGGTGGGGGTCTTTGTTGGACTTGGCTCTTTGTTGGCTTCTGTGCTCTCTTTTGAACCCTGTTCAGTTGGCACCCTGATTTCTACGGGGAGTGCCGTTCCTCTCCTGGCAAGGCGTGGAGATAGGAGTCCTCTTGGATCATCCGGTCCCTTCAAGCTCCCACTTCTAGTAACTCGACTTTGCCTGTAATAATCCAGCATAACCCTATTCGGAGTCTCATTGTTACAGAGACAGACATGATGATAGAGTTGAGCCAGCTCTTCGCTGAAAGTCACCAGCTCATCCTGAGCGGCATTGAGGGTATTATGGTTCTCATTGGCAACGCCTGTAATCCTTTGCAGTTCCTTTTCCATCTGTACCATTTTCTCGTGGCTTTCCTTCATTGACTTTTCCAAGCTGGAGACCTGCTCGTCATAGATTTGGATCTTGCTCTCGTACTTGTCCTTTTCCTCGGTGTAGTTTTCAACACACTTATTGTACTTCTCTTTTAAGGCTTTGATTTCAGCTTTGAGGTCAATCACCTCGGTAACAGCTACCTTGTATTTACACTCTAGGATCTCTAAGCCATTGATGTCCACTTCATAATCATGGGTTTCTTCCCCAGAATCTCGGCCTTTCTCAAAGTCAACTTCTTTCAGCTCTTTGTGGCTTTGCAGACCCCTCATTGCGTTGACGTGTTCGGTGAGCCTGTGGACCCGTTCGTGCTGCTCGGTAAGGGCCCCTTTGGTGTGCTCCAGCTGGGTCTGAGATTCCTGAAGATTAGCCAACAGAATAGCTTTCTCACGCTCCACCTGCAATAACCCAGAAAAAGGATGTAAATATCTCAAGAAAGAATCTGGGATGATTTGCAAGAGCTAGGGACCCTCTAATACAGGTAGTCCTCAATTTATAACCACAATTGAGCTAGAAATTTATGTTGCTAAGTGAGAAACTTCTTAAGTGAATTTGCCCCATTTTATAACTTTTCTTGCCACAATTCTTAAGTGAATCCCTGCAGTTGTTAAATTAGTAACATGTTTGTTAAGTGAATCTGGTTTCCCCATTGACTTTGCTTGTCAGAAGGTCACAGAATGTGATCGCCTGATCCCAGGATATTGCAACCGTCATAAGTGTGAATCAGTTGCCAAGCATCTGAATTTCGATCATATGACCATGGGGATGATGCAACGGTCGTAAGTGTGAAAAATGGTTATAAGTCACTTTTTCAATGCCGTTGTAACTTTGAACAGACTGTTGTAAATCGAGGACTACCTTACCTCCTCGTGAATACAGTTAGCTATTAAAATCAGACTAAGGGGTATCAAACATTGCCTATGATTTTTCCAAACTTGAAAAACTTCAATGTACAATTTCAAATGCATATTTTTGTGCATTTAAAAAAAAAAAATCTAACAATTTAACTATAAAATTTAGAGTGACAAAAACCAATCATTTCAAATGTAAACATTTTAACTTGTTTGATGAGTGATATGAAGCTAAACTTAGTTCACTGCTGTGTAGTCATTACTATTTCAAACCTCTTGATGCATACAAAATAATTTATGAAAACATTTAATGGAAATATAATTAGCACACAGCTGAAGATTGAGTGATTCAATTTATATCCTGCAGCAATCTCGTAATGGCCACTTAGTATGCAGCATGTGTGAAATCTGTGAAGCCCATCCTAAGAAAGAGATTGAAAATCAAACCACCAAGATCATAGATGCCGTTATAAAATCTGTGCTATAGTTATCTCTAGAACTTGATGTACAATTCTGGTTTCAGGATAAAACAGTGCTGGAAAAAGTCTAAAAGAGGGCAACCAAAGTCAATAGAGGGGCTGGACCCTTCGCCTACAAGAAAAAAGAATGATTGTGATTTTTTAGGTTTGAAAAATAGTTATTGAGGGACTGCATGTTCAAAGTATAAGAATTATACAGTAGTGGCCAAAATTGTGGAAACCTTTCAGGGGGAGAAAAGTGTATTTTCTAAAACTAGCTAATAACATAGCTTTTTGGGGGAGTAGTACCATAAAATTATATATCAATGGAAAGATAATTTAATTAAGAATGTAATGCAATAACTTTTTTGAAGGATTTGCTATTAGAATAACAGTTACAGTATAAAGAAGAAAAATGAAACACGTAGAAAAAACGAGATATACAAAAATTATCACCATAGAAAAAATGAGATATACAAAAATTATCACGTCAGTTAATACTTAGTTGGGTAACCTTTAGCATGAATTACGCCCTTACAACGGCTTCCCATGGAGTTGTTATGGAACGAAAGACTGAAAAACATTCCTGGGTCAGCCAGATACAGTTTATTGCGCAAGTTCAGAGCCAGATTTGTACCTGAAATTCTGAACCCCGGAAAGCTCTGATACAACTGCTTACATATGTTTCCAAGACAAAGGGTTTGGTGAGCACATGCATTTTTCCATATATGGTTAACATACACTTGTTATATGATAATTGACATTTCCTAATTATTAAACCATTATTGTCTAGTTTATAAGATTATCTTTAGCCAGACAATTAGTTCTGTAATTACTAATACGGGAGATTTATTGCTGTCCTTAGGCAATAAGTCACTCTTTGTAACATACATGTCCTTGTGTCTTTGATAGTGAGGCCCCTCAGATGTTTTCTATATGGCTGTCCTTCTGTGACAGCTAAGCCTCATCAGAAGATATATTACCAATAATTTAGCTGATTTTTAATCTAATCTCCAAACAAGCACATTTCTCCCTTATAATAATGTGAATACAGAGGGTCCTTTAGTGTTCATGTAACTGACCCTGTATGATTCCTACTTTATTCACATTAGAGTGAACCAAGTCTTTTAGTTCTGCAGCTGTGAAACCAAATTGAATGATTGCTTCTATTAACTGGGTTTTATTGTTGGGTCGCTTCTGACTAACAAGTTTATGGAGTCAGCTCCATAGATTTTCAATTGGGTTCAGGTCTGGGCTATTCCCAGCCCGTTCCAGCAGTAGACTATGATTATCTTGAAACTCTAAAAAAAAAAGTGGTGTTATTAACCATCAAACCTCAAAAATACACTTTTCTCAAAAGGTTTCCACAATTTTGGCCACTACTGTACATGGTATGGAGAAAATCAACAGGAAGATTTTTTTTTCTTTCCCTGTGCAAATACTGAGACCACAAGTCATTCAATGAATCTGGCTGGAACAAGCAATTAACTTGAGGAATGCATTAACATAAGACATGGCAATTGCCACTAAACTGATTATCTGTACAAGGGAACCTGTTATACCAGGAAGTCTGGCATCTTAGCCTGCCGTTCCCACACCCAATCAGAACACAAAAGACATAGAGCTCTTTTCCCAATTCATTCCATATGGAAGAAAAGGATGCTCGGGAATAATTTCGCAATACTTTCAGCATCACAATTTATACATTCGGACAGTAGGAAAACATAAAATCTCATTGGTTCACAGTACTGGGCCTGCCTACTCCCAGCAGGTACAGAAAATCCTATATTTAGTCATGTAAATTATGGGGCAGAAAACAGAAGGGCAGAAGATGGGACAGGATAAATTGTATTATAGTGCAAAATAGACCCGTAAAGTATTCCATTAGAAAGACAATTAGGTTCAGTAAAGAACATCAGAAAAACAAGACAATGTTAATCAAAATCTCTGTTAAACAGGAAGTAAATAAGCTCTTGCTTTCTCTTGAAGGAGGGCAACCCATTCAGATGGCGATAGAGGGCAATATGACAATTGTCTTCTTCCAGTAAACAAAGCAAAACCAGCAATGATCTTTGTTAGCATCAGGAAGCCATAACTTGGGCACTTGTCCATTCAGTTTGGTTAACAACCTACAAGTGACCTCCCTTCCCTTTCCCAAATGAATGGGGCGGTATTAAATATAAAGTTATGAAGTATTAAGATAGATATAAATGTAACACTAATACAAATAAAATGGCCAACTTTAATACATGCTGAGTCATTCAAGCCCTCGTCATCTCATGCTTGGACTATTTCAATGTGGTCTACATGGGGCTTCTCTTGGAGAATATTTCGGAAGCTACAACTACTGCAGAGTGAGGCAATGCGAGCAGTTCTTGGGGCCTCTTTGGTTGGGAACAACTTACCTCTAAATATCAGCTGCAGGGAATAAGTGTGGGAGAAGGTATGTCACCTTCTCCAGCTCATGATCTCTCTACTGGCCATTATGAAAAGCAAATGCTAGGCTTAGGTGGACCTTAGCTCAATGAAGCAGGATTATTTTTATGTTAGGTGGGCTACCAAAAAAAAAGAAGAAGTAAATGGCAGTAGCAATTCAAAACTGAATCTGACAAAGGAAGTAATTGATAGAAGAGAATATGTGTAGCTGATGGTTGAACTGTGGAGTCCTTAGCGGTCTCTGAGCTTTGTGGTTTTCTTGCTCACTTTTCGCTAAAAAACTAGGTAACGTCAACAGTCCTGATGACATTACCGAGTTTGGTAATGAAATGTCTGCAAGAAAACCACTAATCTCAGGGACCACTAAGGACCCCAAAGTGAAAAATACACAAAACAAGAAACCACGCTGTTAAGATAAAAGTACATTTGAAATGGAGATGCAACAGCTTTTTTTTTTTTTAAAGGCATGTTTACTTCTTTTTTCCAAATAATTTTTCTCAGAGAAATAAATGCTTTTGGAAAGATAAATGTATACATTAAGAAAATGATGAGAAATGTTGACGATGATGACACAAAAATGTTGTACCCAGATGATACACGGATTGATTAATGATGTACAGGAATGATAAAATAGATGTAATCACAAAACAAAAAAGAATTTGAAATGAAGATGCATGTAAATAGAAAATCGGGGCTGCTTGAATACCATTCTAGATAGGATTGAATTGAAAATGGAAACAACAAGGGAGTAGAAAAGGAGAGAGGAGTACAGGGAGGGAAGAAGGGAGGAAAAGAGAGAGAGGGATAGAATTCGCTGTTTGAGAGCAATTGCTTGCCCCGGTCCCCATGGCTCCTCTTGGAGACTAGGTGGCTTAGATACTCAGGATCTGGGCCTTCGGCTGATGTTATGCAATGCCAGGTCCGTGGTTAATAAGGCCCCCCTCATTCACGATCTTATACAGGAGGGAGGAGCGGACCTGGCGGGTATTACGGAGACCTGGTTGGGCCCGGAGGGTGGCGTCCCTCTGGTTGAAATGTGCCCACCAGGCTTCAGAGCATTCCATCAGCCGAGGGCCCAGGGGAGGGGCGGGGGGGTGGCGGTTATTATTAACGAGGATCTGGATCCGAGGGAGACCACTGTGCCTCAGATAGCCGGATGTGAGTCCCTCCTTGTGAGGTGGGGCCGTGGGGTTCAGATGGGCTTGTTGCTTACGTACCTGGCTCCCTGCCGCGTGGCAACAGCCCTTCCTGAGCTACTCGACGTGATAGCCACGGTGGCAGTAGATACACCCAGGCTTTTAGTCATGGGTGATTTCAACTTGCCATCTGTCGGTGAAACGTCTGAGGTGGCTCGGGAGTTCATGGCTTCCATGACGGCCATGGACCTGACCCAGTTAGTTCATGGCCCTACTCACAGGGGAGGTCACACTCTGGATCTGATTTTTGTCTCTGGCCAGTGGTTGAGTGGTCTTGTTATAGGGGATATAGACATGGAACCCTTGTCATGGACTGACCACTCACTCCTTCGCCTAGATCTTCGAACCGCGACCCCTCGCCGCAGGGAGGCGGATCCAATTAGATGGATCCGCCCCAGGCGCCTGATGGATCCTGATAGGTTCCAGACGGAGCTTGGGCCATTTCCTGAGGATCTAGCACATGACTCGGCCGAGGACCTGGTAGCCGCCTGGGATCGGGCGGCTGGTGGGGCCTTGGACCGAGTTGTGCCTTTGCGGCCTCTGACCCGATGCCGATCCCGGGTGGCTCCTTGGTTTACTGAGGAGCTGAGGGAAATGAAGCGCCGGAAAAGACGCCTGGAGAGCGGTTGGAGGGCCAGTCTCGCTGAATCTGATCGAACACTGGTAAGGTCGCATATTAAGACCTACCTAGTGGCGATAAAGACGGCAAAGTCTAACTACTTTTCCGCCTCTATTGCGTCATCAGGGAATCGTCCGGCCGCCCTGTTTAGGGTGACCCGCGCCCTGCTCCATCTGGGAGTGCGGGAGGATCCCTTAGAAGGCAGGGCGGAGGATTTCGGACAATACCTGTATGACAAAATCGCTCAGATCCGGGGGGATTTGGACTCTGACTGGGTAGATCAGGGCAGGGTGACGAGGAACAGTCTTGAGAATGTTATCTGGGAGGAGTTTGATGCTGTGACTCCCGATGATGTGGACAGGATTTTGGGGAGACTTAGTGCGGCCACATGTTTACTGGACCCGTGTCCCTCCTGGTTGGTACTGGCTTCCCGGGAGGTTACACGAGGCTGGCTCCAGGGCGTTATTAATGCTTCCTTGAGTGAGGGTCACTTCCCCGCTGCCCTGAAAGAGGCGGTGGTGAGGCCTCTCCTCAAGAAGCCGTCCCTGGACCCAGCAATATTGGCTAACTATCGTCCTGTCTCCAACCTTCGCTTCATTGCGAAGGTTGTTGAGAGTGTGGTCGCGCAACAGTTTCCACAATTCCTGGAGGAAACATCCTATCTGGATCCGTTCCAGTCAGGTTTCAGGTCTGGGCACAGCACGGAAACGGCATTGGTCGCGCTGGTTGATGATCTCTGGAGGGCTCGGGACAGGGATTATTCCTCTGTTCTGGTCCTATTAGATCTCTCAGCGGCTTTTGATACCATCGACCATGGTATCATGCTGCACCGGCTGGAAGAGTTGGGGGTGGGAGGCACCGTGTTACGGTGGTTCTCCTCCTTTCTCTCCGACCGGTCGCAGTTTGTGTTGGCAGGGGGGCAGAGGTCGACCTCGAGGCCTCTCATTTGTGGAGTGCCGCAGGGATCGGTCCTCTCGCCCCTTCTGTTCAACATTTATGTGAAGCCGCTGGGCGAGATCATCCGTGGCTTTGGGGTGAGATACCACCAGTACGCTGATGACACCCAGCTGTACATCTCCACCCCAGGCCACCCCAACGATGCCCTTGAAGTGATGTCCCAGTGCCTGGAGGCTGTGCGGATCTGGATGGGGAGGAACAGGCTCAGGCTCAACCCTTCCAAGACTGAGTGGCTGTGGCTCCCGGCATCCCGATATAGTCAGTTGACTCCATCACTGACTATTGGGGGCGAGTCTTTGGCCCCCACTGAAAGGGCTCGCAATCTGGGAGTCCTCCTGGATAGGCAGCTGTCTTTGGAGGAACATCTGACGGCTGTTACCAGGGGGACCTTTTATCAGGTTCGCCTGATTCGCCAGTTGCGGCCCTTTCTTGATCGGGATTCCCTGTGCACAGTCACTCATGCCCTCGTCACCTCTCGCCTTGACTACTGTAACGCTCTCTACATGGGGCTCCCCTTGAAGAGCACCCGGAGGCTCCAGCTGGTCCAGAATGCAGCAGCGCGGGTAGTGATGGGAGCAACATGGCGCTCCCATGTAACACCACTCCTGCGCGAGCTGCACTGGCTCCCGGTGGTCTTCCGGGTGCGCTTCAAGGTGTTGGTTATCACCTTTAAAGCGCTCCATGGCATAGGGCCTAGCTATCTCCGAGACCGCCTACTGCTACCGATGACCTCCCATCGACCCGTGCGCTCCCACAGAGAGGGCCTCCTCAGGGTGCCATCAGCCAAACAATGTAGGCTGGTGGCCCCCAGGGGGAGGGCTTTCTCTGTGGGGGCTCCCACCCTCTGGAATCAGTTGCCCCCGGAGATAAGAAGAATCCAGGACCTCAATGCCTTCCGTCGTTCCCTGAAAACCTATCTTTTCCAGCAAGCCGGGTTGGCTTAAGAAGAAATTTTAAAACTTTTAAATCCTTTTAATTAGTCTGTGATTTTTAATTTTTTGGGCCAAATTTTATATATATTTTTAAATGTTTTAATATTTGTATTCTATGTTTTTTATCTTGGCTGTACACCGCCCTGAGTCCTCAGGGAGAAGGGCGGTATATAAATTCGAAATTAAATTAAATAAATTAAATTAAATTCGAAATTGGGAAAAAGTTAGTAAAAAATATTATATTAAAACACCGTGCTGGATATCACCTTTAGAAGCATTGACATACCCCAAACTCTTTAACTATGCGAAAAAATTTACATATAAGGATTTGCTGAATGTACAAGGGAAATTAAAATCTAAACAGGAATTGAACTCCCAAGGGGCACAAGTGGACTGGTGGACCTATCTACAGATCCAATCTAAATACAAAAAAGACAAGAGATAGGAAAGATATTAACGGTGAGTTACAAAAGACAAAATTTTGATGGGCCAAGAAAAAGGCATGATTTCGAAAACTTATAAATTGTTGATGAAAATAGAGATAGGTGATGAGATAATTAAGGATACAATGATCGCCTGGGGGAAAAACTTTGGATATTCAATTCATTTAGAGAAATGGCAAGAGATCTGGTGGGAGAATATGAAATTAGTAGTCTCTACAGCATACAAAGAAAACACCTACAAGATGATATACAGGTGGCATCTTCCCCCCGATAGACTAGCTAAAATGTTCAATGGACAGTCTGCGGAATGCTGGAAATGTGGGTTTGAGCGTGGCACCTATTACCATCAGTGGTGGATGTGCCCGAAAGCAGTAGAATTCTGGGGGAAAATTAAAAAATGGCTGAATGAGATTTTAAATCAAAAGATCGAATGGCGACCAGAGGCATGCCTGCTCGGCTCCAAACCAGAAAGTATTAAAAGAGACTTATGGTATCTTGCATTACACATCATCACAGCAGCGTGATTGGCGTATGCTCAACTTTGGAAAAATCAAAATATCCCATCAGAGGAAGCTATTATAAAGAAGATTTTAGACTGTGTGGAAGCAGATAAATTGACTAAAAAATTAAAAGACAGAGACCGAACACAAATATGTTTATCTTGGGAAAAATTCTATAAGTGGCTAGAGAAGAAAAAATATAACCCAAATTAGATGAGGAATTATATCTATCAAGAAATTTATATTATACAAGTAAAGTGAGGTCAGATAGACCTAATTGTTTTATAAAGATATGCAAGATGTTCTGTCTTCTCCGGATTATGATATAGATATACAGTACCGAATACTAGGTTATTAAGGTACTGCTTATAGGTATGCTTGCTTTTTTTGTTTTGTTTTCTTTTTTTGTTTGTTGCTGTTGTGTTGTCTTGTTTGTTATTTATATGATATGTTGTTCTTCCTTTGTTTTTAATAGAAAATGTAAATAAAAATTATTTTTTTTAAAAAAAGAGAGGGATAGAAGAGAGGGAAAAGGAGAGAAAGAAAAGGGAGGGGAAAGAAGAGTAGGAGAGAGGGTTAGAAAGGGAGGAAGAAGAGAGAAGTAGGGGATGGGGGGAAGTAGGAAAGGGAAGGAGAGGAGGAACGAAGAAAATAGAAAGAAACAGAAGAAGGAAGGGAAGAGGAAGAGAAAAGGTTGTGTGTTGTAATCAAATGACCCCACACAGAAAGGTTGAGGATATATGTGGTGTTTATTGCTTTACAGAGTGACATTATATAGTTTGTTACCTTCAGCCACAGCGTACTTGTCAGCATCTTATTGGTTCACAAAGTCTTTCAAACAACTAAATGTTCTGTCCCTGTACCACGCACACACCCAACCAGCCAGCCGAGGGTTAAATAAACTCTTCAAACACTCAACGTCAGTGATAAGGAACTTGGCAGCAACTCCGTGGCTGCCTGCCAAGAGCTTTTACTCCGATAACACAGACAAAAATACACACAGTTTGAATAGTCCAGTTTGTAATTAAATCCACAGCAAATAGGTGTTGTGTCCGAAGGTGCAAAGTGCCTCGCCAGAGATTAGCTTTGTCCATCTCAGAGTCCGAATGGCCACCACACTCCCTTTTATAGCCTGTGGGGTGTGGTCCAGTGACTCAGCTAATCTCTGGCACGCCTTCCCCTCTGCTGTGCACGCTTCTCCCTGCGCCTCTGGCGAGGGTCCAGCCAGCACTTATTTTCCTCGTCGCTGTCCACCTGTGGCTGCGGGGACGTGCTTGGCTCTGAGCCTATCGTTTGGCCTTCGGTGTCCTCCGGAGGCATTGCCAGAGAGGAGGGTCCTGGAGAGGGAGGCCTTGCCAACTCCTCCCCCTCACTCTCAGAGTCTGCATCTGTCGATAGCCCAGGCTCAGGCAACGGAGCCACAACACTAAAGCCATAAGATCCTTGGTTGACCATTACTACTGCTTGCTTAAGCGCTTATAATGTTTATCTTTAGTTAAAGTCTAACATATGTCCTACTTCCTCTTCTCCTGTTCCTCTTATCTACAAATTTAGGGTCTTATTTTCTAATGCCATTTCCTGGCACCTACTACCGTGTATTTAACCTTCCTTATCTGAGGTTTGCCATCCAAGATAGGAACATTCCTGCACGTATACATATGCCTACAGTTGTGGTAAAATAAAGGAGAGGAAATGGTAAAAGAGCAGTCCCAAATAATTAAAAAATGAAAGTTGAAGGACAAGATGAAGGATTAATGATCAATGAGGGATAAGAGACTGTACATTTAAATATGTTTATGAAAAATAAAAATAAAAAAACTTTTTAAAAAAAGAAGAAAAAGATACCAAATGCTTTTGGTATCTTTCCACACCATATGAACATTTGTAAGTAAGATGAATCTTCCATGTTACCTGCATGAGCTGCTGCTTCAGTTTCTGCATTTCGGAGATGTTCAGCTCACTGAAGAGATCAGAGACCGGGTGCATAGATTCTCCTTTCCTAACGCCGGGAGTCCGAAAATCCCCATTCAGTTTCATGTGAGGTCCATGAATATGTCCATTCATCTTGTCATCATTATTAGGTTCATTCCCATCTTCTCCAAACTTTAATCCATCTACTGAGATATTAATGTGATTATTATACATGCTATCATTTAAATTGATATACTGAGACAGTTCCTTCCTCAGATTGTTCTTCTGCTCCCTTTCATTCTTTAAGGTCTCCAAAGCCTCTTCTAGTTGATGTTCTGCAATCTCCTTCAACCTGATGGCGTCTTCTAGCTGGCTATTAAGCAACACCGTCTCTTCCTCAAATCGTTTTATCTCATGTTTCAAGCCTTCATACTCAACCTGAATTAAATAAAATAAAGAAGATTCATAATGCTAAAAGTTGGATTTATACACAATCTGCCATTTGCCGCTTGTCTTCAAATAAACATCTACAAATGAGGCATTGTACAAAGGGTTAAGCAAAGGAGACATTACAAATTGAATGAACTTAGCACCGTGAAGTCATGGTAATTCTATTGTTATAGTTTATCTCTGTGAATAATTAATAATTTATTTATTTATTTATTTGTTCAACTTGTATGCCGCCTTTCCCCGAAGACTCAAGGCGGCTTACAATGCATTTAAAAACCATATATAAAACATTAAAAGTTAAACCATTAAAAACAATTAAAACTCATTCACACCATTGATGGCCGGATCTCTCCAGATCGCAACAGCGAGATCAACGGCCCCAGGCCTGCTGGAAGAGCCAGGTCTTCACCGCTTTTCGGAAGGCCAATAGGGTGGGGATGGTCCAGACCTCAGCAGGTAACTGGTTCCAGAGAGCTGGGGCAGCCTCAGAGAAGGCCCTCCCCTGCGGGCCCACCAGCCGGCATTGTTTAGCTGACGGGACCCTGAGGAGACCAACTCTGTAGGATCTTACCGGTCGCTGGGAGCTATGTGGTAGACGTTCTGTGGTAATTGTATCACCACAGAACTGCCATATATTAGCAGAGTTAAAATGTATTAGTAGAATTAGGGGGTCAATCTATTTTCCAAAGCACGAGAAAGCAATACAAGAAATGACGAAATTAATCAAGGAGAGAAGCAACCTAGAAATAAGGAGAAATTTCCTAACAGTAAGAACAATTAACCAGTGGAACAACTTGCCTCCAGAAGTTGAGAATACTCCATTATTGGAGCTTTTCAGACAGACTAGTCAATCTCTCATCTGGAATGGTATAGGGAAGAGATCCCCAACCTTTTGGCACCAGTGACCAGTTTTGTGGAAGACAATTTTTCCATGGATCGTATATGTGTGTGTGTGTGTGTGGAGGATGAACATGCAACCTAGATCACTTGTGTGTGCAGTTTACAATAGGGTTTGTACTCCTATGAGAATATAATGCCTGATGATCTGAGGTAGAGCTGATGTGATGCTAACACTAGGGAGTGGCTGCAACTACAGATGAAGCTTCCCTCAATCGCTGGCCGTCCATCTCCAGATCTGTGATGCAATTCCTAACAGCCCACGGACTGATATCGGTCCATGGCTCGGAGGTCGGGAAACCCCTGGTATAGGAGGTTGGACTAGAAGACCTCCAAGGTACCTTCCAACTCTGTTATTCTGTTACATTTTATCTCTGCTAATATATGGCAATTCTGGCACTAAATTTTGTCTCCACTAGTATATGACAATTTTATACACTATATTTTATCTAATAAAACATAACTTGTAAGAATAACCGAGATTTGCACCTTTCTCGTCACCGAAATGAACATTATCAAGCCCATTTCATGATGCACACTTCTCAGTAAAATGAACTGACCTTTAAGTATACCCATCACATTCAATAGGAAGACGTTTTTTAAAAAAAACAAATAGTTCAAGTGCTTCTAATTGTGCTGTTCAGGCCAAAGCTTAAATTACAGATTTTTAAAAGGAGGACCAAGATGATCCTTGCATAAGAAGAGTATATTCAGGGATGCACCTATAAAAAGTGCTTGCTGAGAGTTCCTAATCCCTTTTCTGGCATAAGGACAAAAGCTCACTCTTCTTTGTTGTTTGCTTTCTTGCATTTTAACTACAACACTGCCTAATTTTGACTTTGCCTCTTGATTCTTTATAGCAGAACAGCCCTAGCTTTTGTATTCTCTGCATTTGATAAAATGGTTATGTGCCATCAAGTTGTTGTCCATTCTTAACAATTTAGATTTCCTCCATTCTCTACACAGTACCTTTATTTTTTACATTCTGTTCCCTGCATGATTTATTTTATGTGTTTTCTGACACTGGCTGTGCCAAAAGGAAAGGAAAGGAGAAAGAGGAAAGATAAAACAGTTGAAGAATGCAGATGTAACCTCAATTAGCACCCTTCAGGGCTGATAACAGACACTAAAGGAAACATTTGTCTAATGTGAATTGCATGGCTAGTACAAATAAACAAAAGCCGTTATTGCTTTATTTCCTTGAAAAAGAAACTAAATATATCAAACAGAAAGAAAGAAAGAAACAAGGCCAGAACAAAGTGTGAAAATATAAGCAGTCAGAATTACCAGGGATGACTGTAACTGAGAAAAATATAAAAGATGAATGAAAGATGGAAACATTCCCAATATGCACCCCAACTGTTGGAAATGCGGCCATGGTCAGGGCACCTTCTTTCATATGTGGTGGACATGGCCCGAAGTGAAAAGATACTGGAACAGAATTTGGAGATGGATACAAGAAATAATTGGAGAAGATACAGAATTGACACCGGAAATATTTCTCCTGGGAATAGTAAAGAAGGGGTATGGAAAGAAAGAGAGTCATCTGATAATACATATAACCACAGCTGCTAGACTGGCGTATGCACAACTCTGGAAAGAGAAAACTCGGCCACCAGAAGAACTTATAATTAGGAAAATACTGGAGTGCGCAGAGATGAGTAAATTAATGTATGAAATAAACAACGATGAGAACTCCGAGTATTATACTGTGTGGGAAAGGTGGTACGAATGGTTGAACAACAGAATTAAAGGGGGAGTATAAGGTATGATAAATAAGTAGTGACAAACTGACTAAGTGATACCAGAGACATTTTATGTATATATGTATAAACACTGCAGATCCGATGTTAACAGAAATGAAATTTTTGTCTTGTATATATATAAAACTTAATAAAGTATATTTAAAAAAAAAAGATGGAAACATTTTATATTTTAAAAATATAAAAGATGAATGCATAAGGAACTGTGGAGGTGGACTGATTAGAATCAGAGGTGGGCTGCTGGGGGTTCACAGGGGTTCGGGAGAACCTCTAGCTAAGATTCTGTGAAGTTTGGAGAACCCCCAAATCCCACTCCTGGCTGGGCCCGCCCACCCTGCCCCGCCTCTCCCAGGAGGCCCCACGCGGCCCATTGTGGATGCAGGTAAGTGCAGACCGTGCACGGAGGCTCAGAGTGGGCAAAAAATGGGCCTACCAGAAGTTTGGGAAGGCCGTAAGAGGGCCTCAAGAGCCTGGGGAGGCCATTTTCACCCTCCCAGAGACTCGAGGAAAGCCTCCAGAGCCCAGGAAGGGCAAAAATGCCTTCCCCGCCATGGTGCAGGAGGTCGACTAGGCCACGTCCACCATGTCCATGCCCACCCAGTAACCAGAGAACCCCTTGCTAAAATTTTTGAAGCCCACCCCTGGTTAGAATCCAGTACTGCAGCCTAATTCTCCGGACAGCTAGCAGTTCGATCCTGACCGGCTCAAGTTTTACTCAGCCTTCCATCCTTCTGAGGTCGGTAAATAATGTTTTACAAACCTATTTTACCCTTATTAAGTATGCTTTTTAAGGGTCAACATATTGTCAGAAAGTTCTGGGTTCAGATCAGTGGTGGGTTTCAAATTTTTTATTACCAGTTCTGTGGGTGTGGCTTGGTGGGCATGGCATGGCTTGGTGGGCGTGGCTTGGTTGGCGTCACAGGGGAAGGATACTTTAAAATCTCCATTCCCACCCCACTCCAGGGGAAGGTTACTGCAAAATCCCCATTTCCTCCCAATCAGCTGGGACTTGGGAGGTAGAGAATAGATGGGGTGGGGCCAGTCAGAATTTTTACTACCGGTTCTCCAAACTACTCAAAATTTCTGCTACCGGTTCTCCAGAACTGGTCACAACCTGCTGAAACCCACCTCTGGTTTAGATCTAAGTGGGTCTGAGAGAAATGGAATTATTCCTGTAAAGAATATAACCTGAGTGACTCCATATTTACCCTTCATGTAACCTGAGCTAACCCTAAGCTATTAAGCTGAGTAAGACATTTAGAAAGGGAAGTGTGTATGACGCCTGTTCTGAGGAAATAATGTGTTAGTACATTCTGAGTTGGGCCAGGCTGACTCAATTGGAAGGAAGGAAGATACCTGTTCCAATTAATTGTTTTAGTTAAGGACATATTGAAAGGGTATTTCTGGAACGGAATTCCAAGTTGGAACAAATGTTGCTGAGAAAACTAAAATGTTATGCAACATCCGAAAAACAATGACAAGCGGGGGTGTTTTAATTGTTTTCCTGATTGCCTGAAAATGTATTTAAACCATGTATCGAGGAAATGTTTTCTCTCACCCTGCAGATTACCTTAATCTGGGGTCTGGGATTTGAGAGAAGGGGTCTAGCATGGGTGTGTGTGTGTGTAATATTGTGATTAAGAGATTTCTCTATCTTGAGAAGATTTTGCTACATGATTTGCGGGCTGGCTCCCTGGGGACAGGCACTTTGTCAGTTTTAGCCTACATAGGATGAAAGGGCTGTAAGTGGGTTTTTTGTAAGTTTATATGTGGGCTTGTTAGGTTTGTGAGAGGCTTTCGCCTGTGAAATGGATGGCAAGGGGGTGACCCAGGTGGCACATGGGTTTTTTGTCTTACAATAGTTCCTGAATGCTAGAAAATTTCCTGAAACAGCACCTCTGTTGTAATAGGATACATACTGCATCTGAGAATTTGACATTACTACTTTTTAAACCTTTTATTGAAAATTCCACTTCTGCTCACCTGATTCTGCTTCAGTGTGGAAACCAGCTTCTGCAAAGTAATGTTTTCTTCTTCAAGTTCAGTATAATCCTGAAGAAGCCGCGCCTCCCTAAATTTATACTCTCGGATTTCATCTTTCATCCTAATTCTCTGCAGCTCTGTCATTTCATTGTTCTGAAAAACAGGAAACAATTCCACGTATTAGTTTTTCCACTTCCATTCAACCATTCAAAGAAAGAAAGAAACAAAAAAGACACAAAAACAAAATCTGTTTCAAATATGTAATCAAAATGCCATTTCCATTGCTACTATTTATTATATCACTGAATTAAATCAGTGATATATCACATGTGGAAAATAACTGCAAGCTTAATTTTTCCCTTGAACACACATATGTAGTCATGTGGCATGAATAATTTTTGATTTCCTGTTACAATTTGGTAGCAAAATTTCAAGGCAAACAAGTCCCTAAATTTTTGGGGGCAATATTTTTGGAAATGGTTTATCCTTCCTATGGCTGAGAATAAGTAGCCCAAAGTCTCCAGCTGGCTTTCTACCCAAGGTTTCATAGTCTGCTGGTTTCTAGCCTGGTACTTAATCAATACAGATAGTCCTTCATTAACAACTATTTGTTTAATGACCATTCAAAGTTACAGCGGTACTGAAAAAAATTACTTATGACCACTTTTCAATTTACAACCATTGCAGTATCCCATGGACACACATGATCAAAATTCAGGCGTGTAGGAAGTTAGCACCCACCCCTTTCCTAGAGGAATGAAATATTTTGGGAAATATTAAAAAGGCAGAATATTATGTTTCCCTGGATGAGAAATGGAGAAGCATGTTTTAAAGACGAAGCAGCTCCCATCTTCCTGCCCCCACCCTTTGTTAATGGGCCAGAGGCAGAAACTCAGTCTTTGTCAATGGACCATCATCTGCAACACAATAGGACCCATCTAGCAACAGAAACTAACACAATAGGATCCATCTAGCAACAGAAACTCACCACATGGCACCTGGGAAGATTACATCAGCCAGCAAGGCTAGCTAAGAACCCCACCCCTTGGGAGTCTGACAACCAATCAGGATACTCTTTCGGGGCCCCAGGAAGTTCAAAGCCAGAGAGGGCATAAAATCCGGGGACTCACTGTGTCTCGCCCCCTTTTCTGTTCAGGAACTCAAGCCATGTGATCCTGTCCACCATTAAACCATCTTTCCAAGCAGTCTCCATGTTTCCAGTGTCTTTTTCCCCACTTGGAGCTGAACCCAGAAGGATATTTCTTCTTACAGGCGCTTAGCAACCAGTTCCTATTTATGACGGTTGCAGTGTTCCTGGGTCATGTGATCCCCTTTTGCAACCTTCTGACAAGCAAAGTCAGTAAGGAAGCCAGATTCACTTTACAACTGCCTTCCTAACTTAACAACTGGAGCAATTAACAACACTGACGAGAAACGTCATAATGGGGCAAAAATTCACTTAACAATTGTCTCACTTAGAAACAGAAATTTGAGGTTCAACTGTGGTCGTACGTCGAGGACTACCTGTACGCCAAACTGCCAAAGATCTGTAGCCACATCATTTCCACTTGACCTTCTTGACTATATAAAGTGATAAGAGTTACAGCTTTTGGCAGGCTATTATGGGATCCCCATCTCTTCCAATAAATAATATTGACCTATCTTTCAGAGTTACTATAAGCAATGCTACTTCAATTAAACAAAACATGTTCTATAAATTGAATGACCATGATTATTAATTTACTGTAAAGTAAAAATACATCTTAATTTGTCCTCCCTATCAGGGAACTTTGCTCGTTGGGTACCTGGGAACAAGGGAAAGGAAGGGAAGGTAAGTGCAACAGGGCTCATCTTCGGCTGGAATGTCATACCTATTGGCAGACCCCACCATCTCCTCCAGGTGTGGAAGAAAAATGCTTCAATTCAACTCGGTTTGATTGACTTATTGGCCAGCAGTTGTTCCCAAGAGCCAAGAATACACAGACTCTCCCTTTGGGTCGATTCCAAAGAGGAATACAAAGGCACAACCTTTTATGCGTAAAGAGGCCGGAAATTGCACTTGGCAGAGATGGCAAATGTTCATGAACTCAGCAATTCAACAAGACATTCTTTCATCTTATCATGAAGTGGTTGACTTTTCCCTCCATTCTCCTTTCCTTGTATGTCTTGTCCAAGCCTGCATAACATGTGGCTGCTGCATTTTTCTTGTTAGGAATGCTTAAAAAGTGTAATTGATCAGTTCTCCAAAAGGGGACACTCTAGATCAGGTAACCTCTAAGGTTATTTACCCTGCTGAGCTTTATTTTTTTGCTAATTTCCCATTGATTAGCATTATAAAAAGCAATGGCCAATTTCATGAAAGAAAGGAGATTTTCTTTAATAATGGGAAGAATCTCTGGCCATTTCACCTGAATGAGCTACCACCTTTGGCCAACTTCAATCTCTTTGTCACGTTTGTTGCCTTTTGTTGCTTTTGTTGGACTAGAAAACCTCCAAGATCCCTTCCAACTCTGTTATTATATTATTAAAATTCAAAGAGCTCAAAGATGAAAAATGGAAGAATTTTCTTTTTAAATATCACCTAACTAATGTGACTCTGCAACTTCAAGGAAAAGATCACCTAATCTTTAAAATGTATAATTCAGTAATTTAACTTTAACTTTATTGTCATTGTACGTGTGTACACTCTATACCCATACAACGAAATTCACTTAACATCCAAAGACCAGGTCCAACACACATAACAATCCCCAAACACACTCCCACCCACCCCAATTCCCCACCCCTAAATCACCCAAACATCCACACAACAGACCAAGGAATGCTGTCCAACAGCTCACTGATGGTGGCCCTTTAGTTCATTGTTGAGTGCAATTATAACTCTGGGATAAAAACTATTCAGAAGACGTGCGGTCCAAGTTTTAATTGTTCTGTATGTTCTGCCAGAAGGCAACAGTCCAAAAAGATTGTAAGCAGGATGAGAAGAGTCTCTGAGAATGTTATGCAACTCCCTCAAACAGTGAGATTCGAAGATGTCGTCCAGGGCTGGTAGCTGGAGCCCAATGATATTCTGGGCAGTTTTAATGATTCTCTGAAGAGCTTTTTTGTCCGTTACAAAGCTGCTCCCATACCATGCAAGAATGCCGTATGTCAGGAGACTCTAAAAGCATTTAACATAAAGTTAGATATTTTCAAAAGATGACTGAAGAAAGGAGAAGTGGATCACTCTGCTACTTGGCTCCAGTCTAGTCATCAAGGAAAGCACCTAAGCTAGATGGGAATTTTCTAGTCATTAATATGATTGGCTATGCTTGTAAGTTAAGTGCAGGGACAATCGCGTGAGAAAGGACTGTATGCTGTGGAACAAGAAGCGAGAGGATCAATAATGTATGAGTGCCAAATGGATGTGGATCAAATACTTCTCATCCCAATGGGATTGGCCTGTCCAACCCATGCTTGCAGAGGAGGCATGCTGCAGGCCCCGTCAGCCCTGAGTGTTCTGGATGGGCCTTCTTTGTAGGGGCTCTCTCTCTCTGTGGAACTGTTCTGACCCAGCCTTAGCAGAAGCAAGAAACAGACTCCTTATCACAACCCCCCCCTCTTTATTTACCTCTTGTGAATTAATTGCATTCACCCACCGAAAAGTCCAGGCAATAGTCCTTCGAAGAGTTAACTGCAGTAACAGACTTTATCAGTTCCTTGCAAGGTTGCAAATTAAGTTCTGGCAAGCAGTCTCTGTGGCATGAAACACAATGAGCAAAATCTTCAAAAATATGAACTGTTGTGTTCTACAACAACCACTCCCCTTTCCTTCTATTTATTCCCCAGACAGGGAGGGGCCATTCAGCATCCACGTGTACTTTGCTTCCCGAGTCGATTCCTTGTCCTCCGTTGTTCACCTTTCCTAACAGCTCTGTGCATATGTGCATCTGGAACAGGCCCCAGCTGTTCTTCCTCCTCACTCATATCAGCCTCCAAACTTAGACAGCTGCCTCTCCGGTGGCTGGGGAATGTCAGACGGCCCTGACTCTATCTCTGCGTCCAACGCAGAGCATCCATTAGAGCCTTCCCCAGACTCCAGAACTGGCCCAAGTTCCTCCCCAACATCCTCATTGTCTGAGTCTGCTGCCAGCTGGCGGGCCACAACAGGAACATCAACCCTGTGGAAAAAACATTGGCCAGAACCACCAAGTGGCTAGTTTGATTGTTGTTGCCAGAGGGGCTGGCTTTTGTATTGGGGTTTTATTTTTGTAAGCCACTTGGAGTTACCATGAATGAGTTGGGCGGCCATATAAATTTTCTGAATAAATAAATGTATAGCATTTCCTTTTTCAGTACTGTGTCTGCCTCAAGAACACATTCATGCACACACATATTATTAAATATGTCTAGTGAGTCATTCCGAACAGTTCCATAGATGGCAACGAGAGAAAAAACCCCTACATTTTACCTCATGAGCAACACGGCCATCAGTTATTTTAGAATACCAAACTAATACTTCAGCTTTTATTTTACTGATTTAAAGAACAACAATTCTACACCCAATGTAGAGAAAGCAATTTTTTTTAAAGTACCAAAATGAATGCCAAGGCATTCGTTTTGGATTTTTTTAAAAAATCAATACTATACAGGGACAACCTTGAAGACATGTTTCCACAAGTAATCAAAATAAACCTTAGTACTTAGCAAGATATTGACTGTGCATGCTGCTGAAAACAATGCTGAAAACAATGAATTATTATGAAGGGTGAGGGCTCAAAAAGTTAATAGATAATTTAATCTAAGAAATAATTGTTTAAAAACCTGCATCTTGCAACTGCGACTTCAATAAATCATTGTCAAAAGTTAGAGTTACTTTTCTAAGAAGCAGTTCATGGTTCATTCTGGTCAGCTGACAACTCAAACTGCCCGGGGATGTTTTGATTATAGTCTATGTTCTTGAAGACACAGTATTTTTTTAAAAAAGCAGAGTGTTCATTCAAGATAGAGAATTCTCTTTGTCTAAGCATTATTTAACGCATTTGTTCTTGCTTCTGTTGTAATTGGGTCTACGCCTGAGAAATAGCCTGAGGCTTCCATCAACTCTTTTGTTTAGCAAGTCCCTCCCCAACTGTTCCTTCTTTGTCTGCCAAATCAGCAGGGAAGGTCTTGCC